GATCCCATCAACAATACAGCTGGAATAAGTAACTACTTTTAAGCATAAACTAGTTGAACTAAGTTGGAAATAAGAGAAGGATACTTGGTCATTTTCTCCAAATAGTCTGCATAAGCCATTGGAACATATCCCTCGTATATATCTGGATACAACTTCAGCTGATTTGCAAAACGTACCAATCATAAATCACCAACAAGGAGAAATTCAACACAACCATGTATTGCTTAAAACTAATCAACCCTATTATCAAGGAATTGGCAGAAGATAGCCAGACAACCTGATTAACTACTTGTTCTCTCACAAATTTATGGTGCTCAGGCGTTCGATAGATTTGATCTGATAGTGCACGAAACTGTAAACATTACAAATTTAATAAGAATCTACTTGCAAAATGTAAGACAAAGATTAGCTCTTTAAACAGGATGTCATATACGTAATTGCATTAATATATTGATATGGCCAACTTTTAGTACCCTGGTCAATCCCATGGTCACACTAAGAGCATATAGAAGACAACTGTTAGCTCATTTATCATGTAATGACTTGGCCATGTAATCTTTGAAAATTTTATGACTTTTGACAGGCATACTTAGACAGAAAAGAAAAAACCTGACAGTTTCCATCTCCTTCAACTTTGGACTCAACCAACTCATATAGTTGCAGCCTGTGAACAAAAATTAAATAGAAGGCCTTATGCATGTGAAGCATAAGTTAATTGTAAGCATCCAATAAATAACTATGAATAAAAATTCCCCCATAGCAAAAGAAATAATCATAAATAAAAAGGTAGAAGGAAAAAAAATAACATGTTACTAATGAGCATTACCTGTGCAATAGCCTTTGATGATCTAAGGTTGCTGCGTCGATAGAAGGTATTTCTCCATTGATTCTAGGGACATGCTGTGTCAAGGATAATATACATAATAGATTGTTAGAGATAACGTAGAAGATATATTATTAAGAAATTATTAGACATATAACAGTAGCTAGAAACCGTTAGACAACCACCACCATGATGCTGGCTGAAGGGGGGAAAAAAATAACGCAGCTATAAACCTTAGAGCATAAACATCAGTAATTTCAGAATTTAAGACATAAAAAATTTCTTTTGTCATCCAGTGTCAGGGAAAGCCAATTGATTAAGGTATTAGTAAGAGGAAATAAAGCTGTCATAAGTTCATTATAAGAGGCAGCCCTATTCACAAGGCTCCCACCAGCTGGGTTTTAGGGAGGGAGAAATCTACGCGGCCTTACTCTTGGAAGCAGAGAGGCTGTTTCCAAGATTGAACCCATGACCTCTAAGTCACATGGCAGCAACCTTACTATTGCTCCAAGGCTTACCCCCTTTGTAAGTTCATTATCACCAGCAAAAACGAAGAATAGAAAACGTTTCAAAAACATAGCAATTGCACTTGAGAAGAGTAACTCACCGGAATTGGAACCATTTGATTCAGTCTTTTTCCCACTTTTCCATCAAGAGCATATTCATCAATCTGCTCCAATGAATAAAACCATTGATCTCCACAATATGAGTTCTTCTCAGAGCTAGAATATGAACTAGAAGGTTCCACATCATCTGCTTCTTCCTGATCATTTTGCTGTTCTATAAATTTTAAATAAATAAACAGAGCAAATTAGTAGCGTAGAAGACCTAGCAGCTTAAGAGGAAATCATATGGACATTCTTAGGTATAAAACATACCAGGAAAATAGCTACCAATTGGATGACTAGGCCACTCCTGCAGTGAATTTGATGATGGCATATTTTCTGACCAATCATATGAAGATTCAGAGGCTTCAGTCACTGCAAGTTGTGAGAATTGTTGCTGAAGAGCATGCGCCATTACTTCATCATTTTCTGTGTTGGTAAAATCATTATTATATTCCTCTTCCCTAAAATAATGCCCGTGATAACAATCTGCATTATCTTGAGTAACATCACCACAATATCTGCAATTACTATATGGACTAGCATCAAATAGCTGCAGGCCCCATCGTACAACATCTGGATCTTGCTCATAGGAAATCATCTCAACAGCTCATCTTCTCCAACTAGCCATGGTCAATTTCAAAACAATTATGGATGATGGATGTTATAATAATTTTATCTCAGGAGAGAAATTAGCTTTATGCAGCCATTTTTATACAGCTGTCACTCCTGCAAAACAACAATCAAGCATAAATTATTTCACGTACCAATTACCAGAGGATTTACTATAAAGAGCATGAAAAACAACTTACCCATATGCCAAGAATAATAGAGCTTAATGCAAATGTCACTATTCATTTGTAGTGTTTTGAAAAAGAATAAATGAAATCAACTTGTACCAGCTTCTCTGATGAATGTCTTGTTTCCAAATCAGAAATACTCAAACCTTAATTTAAATTCCAACAGAAGTTTATACTCATACTATTTTTATATAACACACAGCAAAAGATAATTTTCAAGTTGAGAAAAAAACGACTTTTGCTTCTTTATTAGCAACTACTAGTTTCAATGTATTAATTGGGTTTTCAAACTGGAAATCAGGATTTATGATTGCATCATTGATCACTGCGACACCACGGTGAAAATTATAAAGACATCTGGCTTTGATTTTGTTTTTTAGCTCGAGTCTCACACCAAGTTGCTATTAGAATCCAACTTTGATCTTATGCATTCTAAGTGCGCAGTTTTCAAGTCACACATGTAGCATCCCATAGAATTTACAGCAGTCCAATCTAATTACATCGGAGTCAGTTTAAAATTATAAATATAGAAATAGATTGGCAGCTGGTTAAGTGCAATGACCTATGAGACAACCAGCTAGAGAATTTTTGGTATTGACCACGTCAAGAATTTATCAGCTTATAGATTGAATTCTTAATGCAGAGTCACCGACTAATATCTGAAAGCTGGCTTTGCCCCTTGGGAGCTCGTATATACCGGCATGCATGAAAATATGTGTATGCTTAATACACCAGTATTAAAATATTTTAGGCACGCAAAGCAACTTGTAGATTGTGAAGTTCAAAACAATCCAAAAGAAAGTTTCCCCAACTATCACAATATACTGGTGATCGCGTCTATTGTACTGAACACTCAAGGAGCTATTCAGTGGAGGCAAAATAAGCTAAGTAATTCATGAAGCCACGAGACTGATTACAAGATAAATCCACTAAATGCGACGGATTTCAGGGCATACTAACGCAATACGGTCTAAAATAAGTTCACACCGAAAATTCGCTGAGTTACTTCCAATGTACAAAGAGATGGGGGGAAAAGTGAGGAAGAAAACAAAACTACATAAGAAATGGAAGCGGAAAGTCAAAGAATTTTGAAGCATACACAGCATTCATTAAATTAGTTCCACAAATAGAGCAAAAGAGAAGCGATGCGAGAAACAGAAGGAATAATTAAAAGATTTAAAGGCATATTCTTGCAATGTCCGATTCATAACCTCTCGAGTTTACTTTCTCAACATCCACAAAACGCATGAGACATCAGCATTCAATCTGATCGAACTTCAAGTAGGAAACGACATGAATGAATAATAAGAAATGAAGATGATCCAGTCAATCGAAATCAACATGAATGAAGAATAAGAAGTGACCAGCAGCGACGCATTGTGATATTCACCTTTAGATCAAACCGACAACGATTCATGTCAGGGTAAATCTATTCGAAGATGAAGATGATCCAAACAAAACAACCAAGGAGGTCCGAATCCGAATAATTGATCAATAACTGAACCAAACAAATTCAAATAAAAAAGTATGACATTTATTTAATAGAGTAGTGTATAGTGCAAATTATTGAAACGGGAAACGACGCCAAATGAGAGGACGAGGAAAATGGGGGAAACGAGAGAATCTTTGTAAAAAGGGGGCTTCAGCCTTCAGGTTCAGAAAAAAGGCTGAAACGGCAAAGTGACAGACATCACGAGGTTTTGTTCAGTGTTTCAGACGCGAATCTTTGAAGTGGAGGAGACTGTGACTGATGCTGTGAGAGAGAGAGAGACGCAGAGAGAGAGAGGGGGGGCGTGATTTATTTTATTTTATTTATTTTATTTATGGTATTTTGTTTGTCTGAATTCGAGCGAATCTTCAGAAAAAGCCGTGTCATTTTGCTGCATCTGGGAAACGCGGTCATCTGAAGTGGCGCCAAAACTGAAAATGTTAAGTGGTCCCAATGCCCCTTGATTTTTCTGTCTGGTCATATGTGGTTTTTGGGTTGAAAATTAAGCACGTTTCCCCCATTTAGCATCTGGTTTGGTTATTTGTATAAGAAGTGATTCGGCAAAACGCACAAATCAAGTTAACTCTCTAATATCATTGGAAAGCATTTTTTCAAAAAAAAAAAAAGATTATAGACATTTTTTTTTAGGCCAAAGACTAATTCAGGAAGGTACGTATCAAACTTTTTAACATAACTAATATAGTTTGTGTTATTAACAAGTTGTCAGAGAAAGTAAGATGTCTCGTAAGAAGAAAAATATAAGTTTATATCTTGAAAGTACACTTGTTAACTTTAATACTTCCCACCTAATAAAAATCAATATCAAATCTAAAATAATTTGAGAATACTTTGAATTGTAAAAAGAAATATAGTTTATATTGTGTAAAACTATATGTAAATTAAATACTTTATAAATCAAGTTTTCATATTTACAAGTTGAGTTATATGATAATAAATGTTTTTATATTTATTAATATTAAATGAAACTAATATTTATATTTATTTTTTACGTTAAAATCTATAGATATTTTTCTTGATTAGAAATCTAATGTGTTGATTGATGTGGACATGGTAATATAAGATTAACATTAAATCACACATATAAATATAGAAGTTTACTTTAGTCAACGAAAGTATAAATAAGCAAACAAGCAAATTCTGCGTTGTCGTCCTGCCTTCCTCACACTTCGCCAGATCTTCCTCCCCGCCATTTCTTGCTCCGAAAAAACGAACCATCTCTTCACGCTCAATTCTCTTTCTCTCCTATCTCTCTCAACGTCTCTGGTTCCAAAACAAAATCATAGAATTGCACCTCTGTTTTTCCCTTTACCGGGCCCTGTAGTTTTGAATCTCTGCTTCACATTCACCATGAATTTACCCTACGTTGAAATTGCGCCTTAGCTGCTGATATTCATACTTAGAAGAAATTTATGTTTGTGGAGCTGAAACCTAAGCTAATCCCAAAATAAAAAAAAAAAAAAAAAAAATGAACAACATAATCAGGAGGGTTGCTTTGGCTTTCATTGTTGCATTAAGCTGCTATTCGGAACAAGTTTCATGTCAGAACAACAATAAAAGCCAAGCTGCAGTTCAGCTCGTAGCCCAGGCCGTTTACGGAAGCATGTCTAGTTTCACGGGCGTCTTCAAGGACGAAATAAAAAAGAATTTGGGTTTTTGCATAGTTGATGTGTGAGCAATTTTCCCCCCATCTTTTTCCTATACTTCCGTCGCTTTCATTGCTCTGATGGGCTCCCATGTTTTTCCTCTAGAGATGCTGATTGGGACGGGGCATTTAATTTCACAAACGATCTGACATTTTTGACCTCATGTTCCCAGTCTCTAAAAGGTATAGAATTCCTTTCGTCAATCTCTTGTCACATTTCCCCTGTTAAATTGCCGATTGAGGCAGCTTTTCAGTTCCCTCAAAGATATACTTGGAGGGATATGCCTCAGTCACCATTACATTTATCACCAATCACTGCATCGTATTTTTTTCCCCATTCTGTTATTCATATATAAATCAAATTCACCAAAAGTTAGGCTTTTGGCATGGCATTTGCCTTGCCTGAAGATTGTTCTATTCTTCAAATTAGCATTGTTTCAATTTCAGCAGCATCACTTTCTGAGCATTTGGTGCTGAATTTGACGACTTTACAGGAGATATTTCACAGCGCATATGCACAGCAGCAGAAATCAAACTATATGCCAGTGGTTTTGACATAAAGTCGAAGGGCCAGTCTAACAACTTGCAGCCCAACAAGAACTGTAACTTGAGCGTTTGGCTTAATGGGTGCGAACCTGGATGGGGCTGTAGTGCTGCTGAGAAAGTTCAACTTAATAATACTAAGGACATCCCTGTCAGGTCCACTGATTGTCAGCCTTGTTGTCCGGGTTTCTTTTGCCCTCGCGGCATTACTTGCATGATACGTAAGTATTCATGCAAAGGCCCTTGAATGAGTAAAGAGAGAGTGAGCTATTTTCATTTCTTATTTGCTCTTATGGTGATGTTTTATCCTGCACTCTGCGCTATTGGCTAAATCACTTAGGCAAGATGTTTCTATTGTTCTGTTCTTGCCACAGAAAAAAGTTTCTAATTGACTTATTTGTTGATATTTTGTTCCTATTGAAGCTTGCCCTTTAGGTGCTTACTGTCCACGTGGGCAGCTCAATCAAGCTACTGGAATATGTGAACCGTAAGTCCACACATTTTGCACTTTTAGTTTTCCACATTTCTTTTTCATAGCATACATTAATATTTATCAGCAGAATCAATGTGCAGTTATCATTATCAGCTACCTGCTGGAAAGAAAAACCACAGTTGTGGGGGAGCAGATGTTTGGGCAGACATTTCAACCAGTTGGGATGTTTTTTGTTCCGCCGGATCTTACTGTCCGTCCTCCATCCAAAAAAATCCTTGCACGCAGGGGTATTGAGAACTATAACTGAACTTCAAAACTGTGTTTTCTATTTGCAAGTTGCTTCTTTATTTTCTAATGGGTCACATGATTTCAAATTGATCCTGAACAACTTGGCACCATGTTTATAATCTTCCTGCTCTCTTCCTCTCTGTTCTAATGTTATAATAGCCATATTTTTCCTTCATTCTTTTTTGTTGGTAAAATCGCCATATTTTTCTGTCTGAATTCTTTTTTAAAGTTACTTTGGTATATACATTGCAGACATTATTGCAGGACGGGCTCAACCGATGAAGAAAGTAAGTTTCACCAATCCTCAGATCAGACTCATTATCAGTCCTCTACACCCATTTTCGTATCCTCTAATGATGAAAACTAAATAATGTGACTATATAGAATGCATATTTCTTGTGTTGGCGATTTCGAAACAAAACCCGTGTAGGCGGGGAAGAAGCATTTCCCTTTTCCCCCTTAATTACCTGATACTTCCTTGACATACTTCTATGTCTAGTATTTATAGGACAAGTTACCGTTTGAGAAATGGAATGAACTTTTCCCTTTAGATTGAAGGCGAATCTACATAGTGCCAGATGTCAGTTTAACTGGACCTCTCTCTTTATTTCACAGGTTGCTTCAAATTGGCGAGTTGTAAGCCTCAATCGGCTAATCAAAATATAACTGCATATGGTGTCATGGTTTTTGTGAGTGATCTTAAACCTTTTCATATAATGTGAAGCATAGCTAATGCAAGTTCCGGAATTGTTATAGATATTGTCAATAACTTTTATACTTTATTATAAATTTTTAGTTATCCTTATTGAATCGTTATGGGGCTTTTTATGTACATAGACGCTGCGGATTCATACAAATCTCAGAAACCCTCAGTGTTGCCTAACCTGAAAGGACGAACATCTATTGCAAAAGTGTCAATCTCCACTTTAGTTATAGGACTATCATAATGAAATTAAATATAAGAGTCAATTGACTAGTCTGAGTAGATTAAGAAAATAAGTTAAGTTAGTTATTTATAATAAATAAGTGTTGTCTTTCCTAGAATATCCTTGCTGATCAAGTGTATTGGCTAGAACTACCAATATTACAATAACTATCTTGAAAAAAATGTACAAATATAAGAGACAAAGTAGATTAGGATTTTATATTTAGGATTAAAATAAAAACCAAATAAAGTCTTATATTAACGATAAGAGATAATATTTGGTAATACTTTCTCAAAATTATATTTTAATCTTGAAAAATTGACGACACTAACGTGTACCATCTAGAACTTCCAAAAATATACCAGGATGAAATTCTTTCCTTTCTATCAGATTGCAACCCCCGTCCCCAAACTGTGCATATCTCATCTCAATAGTAGAATTGACCATTCGGTTGTGAATGTAGGCTGGGTTGAGCTTCTTGCTTATCATCATATATAATTGTTCTGACCAAGTTCTTGCAACCCGAGAAAGAAGAATAGCAAAATCAAGAGAAAGGGCTGCTGCAAGTGTAAGAGAAACACAAGCACGTGAAAAATGGAAATCGGCGAAAGATATTGCTAAGAAGCATGCAGTAGGACTGCAAACTTCTTTATCACGTACGTTTTCTCGTAGAAAATCTATGAAGGGGGATCTGAAAGCTTTTGGTTCTAAATCTGCGTCAGAAACTCCCTTGCCACCTGCGCCACCAGCAAGTGCTGGTACATCATCGAAAGGAAACAAAAAAGATAAAAACAGCCTCACAAAAATGATCCAGAAAATTGAGGAAGACCCTGATAGTCAGGAAGGCTTTAATGTTGAGATAGGAGATAAAAATATCAAAAAGCAAGCACCCAAAGGCAAGCAGTTGCATACGCAAAGCCAAATTTTTAAGTATGCGTATGGTCAGATTGAAAAAGAAAAGGCTTTACAGGAACAAAATAAGAACCTTACCTTCTCTGGAGTTATTTCAATGGCTAGTGATATTGAGATCCGGAAGAGGCCTACGATTCAGGTTGCTTTCAAAGACTTAACTCTCACTTTGAATGCGAAAAACAAGCATCTTCTAAGATGTGTGACTGGGGAACTACATCCTGGTCGAGTTTCAGCAGTCATGGGCCCATCTGGGGCTGGTAAAACAACATTTCTTTCTGCTTTAACTGGAAAAGCAACCGGATGTCATACAACTGGCTTAGTTCTTATAAATGGCAAGGTTGAATCTATTCGGTCATACAAGAAGATCATTGGGTTTGTGCCACAAGATGATATTGTGCATGGCAATTTGACAGTAGAAGAGAATCTGTGGTTCAGTGCCAGATGCAGGTATTCCTCCTCGAACTCCTTGATCACCGCAGCCTCTTGGATGGATCTACTTTAAAAACGAATTGATTATGTTAAAAAGATTAGAATGTTGACTTTTCATATCTTCTTGCAGAAGTTTTTCACTGTTTGGTTGCTACTTGCCTGTATGCTTTATTAGTATTCTCATGCCTGTTACTTCCATAGATTTAATGAATTTTCTAGCTTCTGACTATTGTCAACTCACTTAGTAGAGTTTTCTTGCCATTGTAGACTTTCAGCTGATTTACCAAAAGCAGAGAAGGTTCTAGTCGTTGAGAGAGTTATTGAGTCATTAGGTCTGCAAGCAATCCGAGATTCTCTGGTTGGAACGGTGGAGAGGCGTGGAATCTCTGGAGGTCAAAGAAAACGAGTGAATGTAGGGCTGGAAATGGTTATGGAACCTTCACTCCTGATTCTAGATGAACCAACATCTGGTTTAGATAGTTCATCTTCTCAGTTATTGCTTCGAGCACTAAGGCGAGAGGCTCTAGAGGGTGTTAATATATGCATGGTCCTTCACCAACCAAGGTAAATTCAAACATAATGATAAGCAGCTGGAATTCAAAACGTTCATATTTCCCATTTTTTCTGTTGAATATTTGAGATCATTTGTTTTTCTCCTAAATCACCCAAGATAATACTCCCTTCTATTCTATTTTGGGTGTCCTCCAGTTACACACTGTTCAAGATGTTTGATGATTTTATACTACTCGCTAAAGGTGGTCTTATAGTGTATCATGGACCAGTGAAGAAAGTTGAAGAGTATTTTTCCAGCTTGGGGATTGTTGTTCCTGATCGCGTTAATCCTCCAGATTATTACATAGACATTTTAGAAGGGATAGTAAAACCAAGCTCAAGCACAGCAGTAAACTATAAACAACTACCTGTTAGATGGATGCTTCATAATGGGTATCCTGTTCCTTTGGACCTGCTTCAGGGTGTCGAAGGGATGGAAGGCACAAGTGGTGAAAGTTCCACACATGGGGCAGCTACTCCAGCAGCAGAAGCCGAAGATCCGTCTTTAGCTGGGGAAATTTGGCAGGATGTAAAAGTCAATGTTGAGAAGCAGAAAGACTTCTTTCGATATACTTTCTTTACTTCAAATGATTTATCTAATCGGGTAACCCCTGGAGTCTTCCAACAATACAGATACTTTCTTGGAAGGTAAAGTACAAAAGAGATGAGCGGTGGCGAGACTCATTACCAAACAACTGAGCAATTTCTCCCAAGTGACGTCCTTGCTAAATTTTGCTATATGATGGGTTCCCTGCAGGTCTGGTAAGCAGCGGCTACGAGAGGCTAGAACACAGGCCGTAGATTTTCTAATTTTGTTACTTGCTGGAATATGCTTAGGAACACTTGCCAAAGTGAGTGATGAAACATTTGGAGCAACTGGTTACACATATACTGTCATAGCAGTATGTAAGTTTCATCTTAATTTCTTCTTGTTACTCCCAGGATTGGTGAGATTGCCTGCCATTTTTGTCATCTATACTTCTTTACTAACAGTTTCTTACTTTCAGCACTCCTTTGCAAGATCGCGGCTTTGAGAACATTTTCACTGGATAAGTTGCACTACTGGAGAGAGAGTGCATCTGGCATGAGTAGCCTGGCTTACTTTCTTGCAAAGGATACAGTTGATCATTTTAATACACTCATAAAGCCGGTGGTCTATCTCTCAATGTTCTATTTCTTCAACAATCCTAGATCCTCTGTCGTAGATAACTACTTTGTTTTGCTGTGCTTGGTGTACTGTGTCACTGGCATAGCTTATATATTGGCGATCTCACTTGAACCTGGTCCTGCCCAATTGGTGAGCATTATTGTTCTATATCTTTTTTCACATTTAGTGGTGTGGGTTTGCCTAACTTCCAGTCACAAGCCGTTGCTACGTTTTGCAGTGGTCGGTGTTACTTCCAGTAGTTTTGACACTTGTAGCAACCAGTGATAGTGTAGCTGAGAGCTCATTTATGGGCAAGGTAGCTGACGTTTGCTACGCAAAGTGGGCTCTTGAAGCATTTGTGATATCAAACGCTAAAAGGTTTTACACCCCCAAAGTTTCTTCCTTTTCGTTGCTTACCTTCAAATACTGGCTTCTATACTGATATTAAATTTGCCTATCTGGTTTAGATATGCTGGGGTTTGGTTAATAACCCGATGCGGTGCACTAAATCTCCGTGGCTATGATCTCAACAACTGGTATCAATGTCTCATTTTTCTTGTGGTAACGGGAGTACTTAGTCGCATTGTGGCATTCTTTTGTATGATCACTCTCCAGAAGAAATGAGTTCAGTTCTTCAGTTCCTCTTTCTTTTTGTACTATATAAAACAAAAACAGAAAAACCAAGACACAGAAAGTCCAAGATTCTTAATTGGTGCTGCAGTTCGATCAGGGCCTTCGGCCACTACTTGATAGAGCAGTGTGACAAGGTTTGGATCGTCGCGGAGGTGAATTATGTACAGAAGAATGACCGTGTAGTCTCTGACACCCATTCTAACGTAGCATTGGAATGACTTGAACATACATACGCCCCCTTCTCTCTAGTAATGGCCACAAACACTCTTCTTGTGTAAGTAAATACATCCACAATAATGTAACAGGTCATTTTGAAGGTTTAGTGCTTATTCATTGAATAATAGATTATAACTTCGATTGGAATCTCTCTTTTGGGTTCCAGAGAAGCTACCAAAAATGGATCACATGACTTCAATAAATTAACGAGCCGTTATAATAATCACCCTTAAAAGAAACCACAAGAAGAATAGGAAAAGGAACACGCTTGTCTTTTGATAAAAGAAATATGATTCATTATGTTCCACTTAACACGGCCAAATTAGATCCTACATGCACCGATCAGTTACGTCAGTACTAAAAAGTTTGACAATTGTTTTATTAGATTAGTTTTTTTCCCCAACAAAACGGATAATAAAAGAAAACACCAAAAGTTAACCTAGGTCCAAGTTCAGTAGTTTCCAGAAACCTTCTATAAAGGTGATTAGAGCACTGTTGGTAATAACCTCGGCCGTAATAGAAGTAGTTGGAGTTAGGCACCGCGTATGTAATGACTAGAGACTAGTTGGTAGGGTCAGTGTTACCCTTCGCCCAATCGGACCTTCATATCCCAACTAGAACTATCCCTGCGGGATCGGGTGTTGACTCAAAGGAAAAGGGGAAAGAAATCAGTCTTTCTAAATTTCGTTGCAATAGTTTAATTCACTTTAGATTTTTCAAAATTAAAAAATCCAATTGATTAAACCTCTTAACAGCCAACTCAAATAGCAAAAGAAAACAGAAATCTTAACGTAGCCCGTTTTCTTTTGTTAACCTCTTTTTCCTTCGTTTTATGGGAATTCCTTGTTATATTAAGCGTTGAAACTAAGGATTTTCAACTCAGGCCTCCGGGTCAATGCCCTCCCCAGTTGATCCCTTCCTCTGCAACCAAAATCCAAATCATCCATGTTCCCCGGGAAAATTGATAAAAATTCAACTTCAGTAGCTATCATACTATGGCTCATACAATTATCCATCTTTAATCAGCTCACGATGTCATATGATCATGCCTAATTAGTTAATATGCAAAAATATACCGTTGATCCTTGAGCTTCATGAAAAAGCTTTCGATCTAAATTTTAAAAAGCTTCAATCCTAAAATTGTCGGTATTAAATAATATTTAATATTTTCTATATTAATTATTATTTTGAAAATTAAACTCAATATTATCATCCTTTTTTAATAACAATTTTAACGTTAAAGAACCAAAAATGCACATTTTAAAAGGACTAAGAGTGTATTTTAAGTTAGTCAATACAACTCGAAGAGGTCTGAAATTGAAAGCAACACGTTTTACTTTTTTTATTGCTTCTACCATTGTTAAATGCACTCCCGTCTCCCGCTACCCCCGCCAATTCATCACACTAAATGATGATAATCAACAATCGAATCAAAGAATTTTCTCTGTTGAATTTTTTTTTTTTGGGCCAAACTCTGTTGAAATTTAAAAGCATGAACAAATCTGACGAACATAATTATTTCCCCCCTCTCTCTTGGGGAACAAAGATTGAAGAAGAAATTACCAAACTCATCGAGGAGCGAATGAGGCTGACAGAATATCAGTGGGCGTCTTCACGTTATCGGACCAGATCTTAGACTTCAGATATAGCCTCGAGATTTTTCCAGCGACGCGTCCCATATTGGGTCTCTTATCTGGATCCACGTGTACGCACTCAAGCGCTACACGCGTCACCTCCTCTGCCACCTCGACCGGGAACGAGTCCCTCAGCCTCCGGTCTATCCATCTCCTCAGCCTCCCTTCCACGCCGCCGCCCCCGGCGGGATCACCGTCCAGAACGGCCCTCGCCTTATCGATCACCGAGTTGCTCACGAACTCCCCGGTTTTCTTATCGTATTTGAACTTCAACGGTTCGTCTCCGGATAGCAACTCCAAGATGACTACCCCAAAAGCGTATACATCGGACTTCTGGGTCGCCACGCCAGTGGATTTGTATTCCGGCGCCATGTACCCTTTTACGCCCTCGAATTTCTTGTTAGAGCTTCTCGATCGTCTCAGGTCCTTTGATTTCGTGGAAGATGGGGAGGTAGATGGCTCCTCTGTAATCTCTTCCATCTCTTTCGCATTTTCGCTCTCTTCGTCGATCTCACCGCACAGCTGTGAGGCGCCGAAGTGTGAAATCCTGGCGTTGAACGAAAGTTCTGTCACGATTATCGCACTGCTCTTGATGTGGTTGTGCACCAAGCTTAGGGTTAAGCCGGTTTTATTGTGAATGTAATCAAGTCCTTCGGCGAGATCCGTAGCAACCTGCATTCTGGAAATCCAACTCGACAGGACCGTGAAGTTAACGTTCTTCGTATTTCGCAGACAATCGGAGAGATTAGCTCCATTCACGAAGTCGTACACGAGGTAGATGTGTTCGCCGGAGATGCAAGCACCGACGAGCTTGATGATGCTGACGTGGTGGCTACGGCAGATCACAGAGAGGCGATCTCTGAGTTGATTCGTCTGGAGCTTGCGACGGAACTTGCGCTGGAAAACAATGACGTCTCTGCCTCTGAGAACACATCGCCAAGAGGGAGTGGAGGAGGAGGAGGAATAACGCTTGGCAAGGAAATTGTTGGTGGCGGAGCGAATTTCAGAGAAGTCATAGATGTGGGGGTTTTCAGGGAGGCTGCCTCGAAAACTAGCGAGAGAGGTTCCGCTGGAAATGGAGGTGTCGGAGGTGAGTTTGAAACCGGAGGAGGCAGAGTAAGGGGCAGTGCTGGGGTAAGAAGTGGAGGGTTCGTAGGAAGAAGAGGCGGCGGGGGCGGGTAAGGTGGGACGGGAAGATGATGGGATTCCTGATTTCGAAGTGCGGGGTTTTCGAGGGGAGGAAGCGTCGACGGCCATTTTGGTTTTACACATTCAGGGAAAAGGGGTAACGAGTAGATAAACAGGAATTGCAGAAAAGTCTGAAATCTGAAATAAATGGGATGCGGTGGACAAGCAAATTGATGGCCGACAAAAATAATTAAGAAATTAATTGGCGAGTGAGAGTCATATCGACGGAGGAACCCGCACGGGCACAGATAACGTCGCCGCCTTCGCCGACTCTGACCCCAGCGAGAAAGAGTCTTTCTCATCTCCCAATTGTTTAAGGTAGCGGCGAGCGGCATACGCCTGACTTGTCATGCTTTTCCTTCTTTTTTTTTCCTTTTAAATTAAAAAAAAATCATAAGAAATCCTCATTGAAAGAAAGTTTGAAACATATGTTTTAAGTCTTTAGATTTTTTTTTAGTTTAGTTTCTTTATGAAGTAATATTATTACTCCCCTATATTAAAGAAGAAAAGCCTCACTCCATTGCCGCCATCAGTGCTCGGATGTTGTTCACTGAAGAATAATTGGGAAAGAGAGCAGCAAATGGATTTTGTAATAAAAACTGCAAACTATATACTGCTTGAGTTCTAAATATAAGATTTATGCACTACAAAATAAGTTTTGCACTATAAAATAGGTTTTATATTTAGAACTCGAGGAACATATTACAAGATAAGAGAATTAACGAGAAAAATTAAGATTAGCTTTTGTCTCTTAGTCCTCTTGTAAGAAGCGAAGAATGATTAAGGATATAAGATTTTTTTTTTCCACGTACAAGTAAACTTTGTGGAATAATCTGCTGGTCAAATCAGATACTCTCGTGTCAATTCCTGTGAACAAGCAATTTTATTTCATCTAAGATAGCTCTAAAGAGAGAGTAGCTATCAAATGAACTGCCTCAAATCTCAAATGAATATTTTCCTAAAGCTGTGAACCCAGCGGAGGGGATTGTTGTCCCTCCATTTTTGAATGCGGACTCCGAAGTCACATCCCAAATCAACGTTCACACTGAGACAATGCAGCGACCTTGGTCTCTGGCATGGTTTATTGGCGTCAAAGGAATGGTAGGGAAGGGAACAGGGGAACAGGCCGCAAGAGATTCCCTCACCTCTTCGTGGCGTGTTGCTGCCCGGTGACAATGATAGATGAGTCCATTTGACACTCCAAGTTGGTTCAGATTCCAGTGGAAAACCACATGGGCTACTTTATAAATAAATAAATCATATGATTTCAACCATGCCGGGGGTTTAATTTAATTAGGTCTACCCAAGAAAAGATGGCCGGTGTGATGTCATTGATGACATATATTACCATAATCACAAACAAATATCACTCTTGTTAGTTTCCGCTACATATCAGTTAGGTCCCTTTCGCCTCCCGAATGGCTGCGTGCAAAAAATAAGTTACTTATTACTCATTTAATTTACCCTTTTTTTTGGGTTTCATCATATTTGTAGTATCTTAAAGGGCTGTTTTTAGTTTATAGTATCTACTTTTTCGAGGTAACGGCGCCCGAATTTAATTTGCTGACTGCAACCCATTCAAATTGGCCTGTCCAACGAATACTTGAAGATGTTCTGATGTTGTGATTAACTTTATCATTTGTAACTGTTACACTTTTTCATATTATTCTAATATTTTCGATGAAAGAAATGCCGCATCTTTTGTGCTGCTCGGCCTCTCCTACCGTCCTGAGATTTTTTCAGAGTCGCACGTCACCGTAGGTTTGTTGATTTTGTTGACATAGTAAGGGCCTTTAGAGAACACTTCTCTCTTCTTCTTCTTCTTTTTAAATCCAAGCTTTACAAAACCTTTTTTTTTTTTTGCTAGGTACGTATATATTTTTACGAGAGGCTGTTCGAATATTGTAGAGTACTAAATATGAACACATCTTCTAATAAAAATTCAAACTTTAATTCCTCAGGGCTAGCTCATACTGTTACACTCATTTTTCCTTAGTTCTAGAAAACCTTTTCATCTGGCGTATTTGTTGACCCCTGCCTTTGGATACAGTGTTTTTGGTTTTTGGACTCAAGAAAAAACAGAACGACAAACAGGTTCTAAGCCCATAAAAATCTACTGGGCCTTTTAAGAAGGAATGGGTATGTCTACCGGGCCTCCTAAGAAGGAAAGAATATGTAGGGACATGAATGGATCAACCAACCCAGGCTCATCATCTAAAGGAGTCGTCCAAATCAACAATACGTTTGAAGATGGGCAAAGACTTTGTATCGATCCGAGCCCGAGGGCCACCCAATAACTTGTAAAAATAAAAAATAAAAAAACTTTGAGACATAAATTTTGTATGGCAGACATTTGTTTTGACATAATTATATGAGACCTCAGCATAAATTCTGATTTCCCTACAATATTTACAAAGCCCCATAACCGAATGTTAGGAAAAAAGTTTCGATCAAGTGAAACGGAGAGAGAAATGGCACTCTTCTAATGATTAATATAAAACCTATTTAACTAATTTAATTAGATTAAGAAAGTTAGCTTAATTAATTACAATAAATATGACATTTTTTCAAAGAATCTATAATTATCTTTTTTAATACCTTATATCTCTCTCCTGTATACTCGATTATGATTAAGAGAATATCAATAGGAATAATTTAAAAAAAATTGATAAATATGAGTATATTTTTCAAGATAAATGGTAGAAAGTATATGGAATATTTCTAGACCTGATAATACGTTCATCATAGTTGCAAGCTGCCATCATGTAACCGATAAAGATTCGAGGGGTATTTGGATGAAACCAAGTCATGGTTTGGAGAATAGATTCTATGGAGAAGAGATTTTTGTGAAGAATAGATTTTGTAAAAAAATAATTCTGATAAATGAAAGTTTTTAGACAGTTGTTATCAGAAGCACTTTTTTATATATACAAATTACTAAAAAAAGCACGGGTTAATATGATAATTACATAAAAAAAAGATTTTATTATATATTTTAATTTGAAGGAATAAAATTGTTAATAATATATTTTTTACTAACATAACTAATAATACATAAGATAATATAATTAATAAATAATTAATATGTGTATATATATTTATAAGATATAAGATTAAATATGTTTATAAAAAAATAATTGAGGGATATTAAAGTCATATTATTGTTCAGATCTACTTTAACAGTATGGGTGGAAGTAGGCTAGGCCCCTATCAAGAGCCTACGGTCTAGCCTACTTTAAGCTTGGCCTAGCCTATTTAGTAAATAGGCCAGACTCAGGCTTAGGAGTTAATGGATTTACCCAGGTCAAGAGACCGATAAATGATTTTTATATTCGAAACCCATTAAAAAAGAAGGGACAATCAACGAGAAATCAAATCATACAGAAATGATAAAATAAAGAAGCTAAGGCCTTGGCCCTGAAAATGCTATAAGGTGCTCAGAAATGGTTGAAGTAGTTGAATAGGAGGATCACTATGACTATAGCTCTTGGTAAATTTACCAAAGATGAAAACGAATGAGAGGAGTATGTCTGGGAATCAACTAGTAACGAAAAAAAGGATCATTTGTTTCTTGAACAATTCTTTCAAAAAATGAATCCGCCTGATTTATGAGTAATAAGATAATTCATGACTTAGGAGAGGGGAACAAGCACACTTAGAGAGCGCAGTACAACGAAAAGTTGTATGCTGCGTTCGGGAAAGATGAATCACTCCCGAAAAGGAATCTATTGATTCTCTCCCAATTGGTTCTGACTTCAAAGAATACGCCCTTTTTGATGAAAAAATGGAAATACTATCTTATCCATTTATGGCAATGTCATTCCTATTTAGATAAACAAGCTAGGCCTATTTTTATAAGGCCTAGCCTACAAGCTTACAGGCTTGGCCTATTTAACTTTTTTTTTTAATTTACAATATTATATAATATAATTTAGATCAATTTTACAAATTATTTATAAAATTACTAACTTAGCCATAATCATAAGTCTCACATCCTATCATTCACACACAAATGCAACCCTTTCATCAATCAATCTTTTACCTCTACATTTCTTTTCTTTGATCACTCAAGATGACTGCGTTAGCTCACTCCCTCTCCCCTAATTTACGTTATTCACTAAAGCATAATAATTGTAGTAAGTTTGTTTTAGTGATGCCCAAATGAAATATCATAATACTGCTAAAAAAGCAAGAGGTAAAATCTAGTTTTACATGCCACTTGTTAGGTTTGGTTGATTTTAGAAAATATATCTCCTTAGTCAACATATAATTGGTTTTTCTTATTCATATTTGCTGGAACAATTATTGTCACTAAGCATTCTTTTTCCTTACTAGACTCCTATTATCTTATATTGCATGTGAGAATAGATCCTAAGCTTTTAAGACATAATGTAAGCTTTAAAATAGGTTTGAAGAGTTATACATAAATTTGGAGGCATGTGCTTTTAAGCCTATTTAAATATCTAAATTTTAAGTAGGCTTTTAAAAAGGCTTTCAGGCCTTATCAGGCCTTTTGAAGGCTCAGGCTCGAGCTTAAAAAAAAAAGCCTACATGCAGGCTAAGGCTCAAGCTTAGACTTTAGATCTCTAATGCAGGCCTAGGCCTATTTAGTTAAAGCTTAGCCTAGCCTAGCATATTTCCACCCCTATCTGACAGACACAATCATACTCTCCAATTTGAATCAGAAGCGTAATGGATTCACTTCTCCTGAAACTCTAAAACCATGGTTTCGGATTATTTCTCCAAAATTGATGCTGGTTGGGTGACATTCCACCCAAATCATGGTTTTGCCTCCCAAACTATGGTTTTGAAGGGCATCCAAACAGGCTCTCAGAGAACAACAAGAAGAAAATAGAAAGCCAGTAGCTGCCAGAATGCGTACATTTTTTTAAAAAGCAAGTGGAACAGATAAGACGAGAGAATTGGATCTTAGCTATAGTGTTAAAGCTAGCTTCCATCCCCAGCTTGAGTTTGGGTACTATCCTCTCTGTGCAAGTTGATTCAACGAATGAAGCACCAAAAGGTTTAATTTTCATCAACACTATACTATCTTCGCTTAATTATAAGATGTCATTTCTAATAAATGAGTTTTATAATTAGAACCGGAGGTAATATTTTTTCCAGTGCTAATTTAAATGATGAGGCTTCTTTGTATTTTTATCCTACTCAAGTGTCACTCTATTAGCTTCTTCACGTACACACACAAGCATGGTGCTTAGGATTCAACTGCTGTGCCAAGATGTGTACATAGTACGCGGGTTATGATCTTAAAGGCAGAAAAGGGGAATGCCTTCCCTCAAACATGTAGGTTACGTATGAGGTACTTCTCTAGTCTTATTTACACGATAGAAAGAAAATATATTTTTTGGTCTTATTTATAGAATACTGAGAGAAATTTTTATATAGATATATAATTTTACCATTTATTTATTATTATATTAACTTTGTTTCCATGACGTATAATATATTAAATAGAGATAAATTTAAAAACTTATTAAATTTTAAATAAAGTTAATAAAGTTTAAAATTTTATATATGTAAAATACGTTAAAATGACTCAGAATCAGTATAAGAGGAATAAGGCGTAAATGATTCCAGATTCCTTGGCTTGGTCAAAACGAAGAGGACAGTAAATGCATGACCTTGAAGGCAAATAAATTTCAAAATCGGAGACTTCAATACTTCAGCCCATACCCCGGCTTCCACGGCGTGAGACTCTATATAAGGACGCTCTCGATCGAGTTTTCTTCCGCGTAAGAGCCACATATTCACAAATATAGTTCACATGGCTATTCTGACCTTCTACTTCTTAGCCTTCTCTTTCCTCTGCAATCTCTCAACTCTTCCTGTGCTCACCAATGCTGTCTCCGACTGCGGCGGAAGCTGCACCACCCTCAACGACTGCGCCGGCCAGCTCATTTGCATCAACGGCAAATGCAACGATGATCCTGAAGTGGGCACGCTCATCTGCCGAGGCGGCGGCGGTGGCGGCGGAACCTGCCAGGCTTCCGGCAATTTAACCTGCAACGGTAAATCCTATCCTCAGTATCGTTGCTCCCCGACAGTCACGTCCTCCACGCAAGCCATCCTCAACCTCAACGACTTCAGCGAAGGCGGCGACGGCGGAGCACCGTCCGAATGTGATGAGCAGTACCATAGCAACTCGGAGCGCGTGGTGGGGCTATCGACGGGATGGTACAACAACGGGTCACGGTGCGGGAAGATGATAAAGATCACGGCCAGGAACGGGAAGAGCACGACGGCGAAAGTGGTGGATGAGTGTGACTCGGTGAATGGGTGTGACAGCGAGCATTCGGGACAGCCACCGTGCGGGTATAACATCGTGGATGGGTCGCAGGCGGTGTGGAATGCGTTGGGGCTTGATTCGTCGGTGGGTAAAGTAGAGGTCACCTGGTCTTTTTTACCTGATGAGCATCAGCTGGTCTGCGTGATGAGCTACTCGTAAGAAAAATTAAATAATAGAAGCAAGATAAACAACCACAGTACGTAGCTAGCTGCTTGCTTTGCTTTGAATTTCTCTGGTCTGGAAATTAATCTCACAAAGCAGGAAAGTAATCCCTACTTGAACACGACGAGCATCCTTGTAATACTTCTATAATGAAACTTCAATGTTCCCTCCTTCTCTCTCTCTCTCGCAGAGGAAGATATTGCGAATTTCGTGGAAATAGAATCTCTATGTTCTTTAATTTGATATTTTTAGCCGTTGTGATGTTCTTGGAGTTAGTCACAAGATCACATTCTCGAAGCGATAGCCGATAGCAATTGGGGGGGGGGGGGACCCTTCAGGTATGTCGCATGCAATTATTGATTAAATCATGATTATCTCATTGGACAAGAGCAAATGAACAATGCGAAACATATGATATCCTTATCCTCTTCGCGATGAATACTCATTCATGGTTGATCAGAAGAATGAAATCAACAGTAATCCAACCATTCAAAAGTTAATATCAACAGTGCAGATTTAAAATTTTTAATATGTAACTTATTACTAATAATAGATTTATTTTTTAAAAAAAAGTGCTAGTAACAAGATTATATTTTAAATTTTGTATCGGTTAAGATAAAAATTAATTAAAATACATAAAAACTATACAAAATTAATCTGAATAGTTCAAATTAAGATGAGCACTACATGCTCATCAATTTGATGGACATGAAATGTGCTTCAAAAAATAATCGGGTTGGTATCTATCTGGATTTTTTGGGGGTATAATATGAGGATTTTTATTTTTAATGAGAGTACAAATAACCAATTTTATTTGATCTTTCAATTTAATTGAAGTATTAAACATTTTCATGATCTTTCATATGTAAAAGCTATGGATGAACTTATATACTTCTCTTGTTTTATTTATAAGTTATTTTCAACATATTTCACATAAACAAAAAAATAAAATCTTAAATTTCATTAACTCTCATTTAAAATTCAACAACTTTTCAACTTTATTTCTATTTAATATATATTATTCCTCATATAAACGAAGTGAATACAGTAATAAATAAAAAGTAAAATTATAGATTTATATAAAAAATTCTTTTAAATGACCTATAAATAAGACTAAAACATATTTTCTTTCTATCCTATAAATAGAATTAGAGGAATGTAATTTTCCCCTGACTCACCATAATGTCCCGGTAACGTACGCGTAATGTTGGCGTACAAACTGGTCCATTAATTCCTTCTCTGATGCGTCATTTACTCATTTTCTTGTTTTATCGTTTTTTCAAAACTCTGTCCAAGAAAATACTTTCGGAACCCTACTTTGGTTTTAGAAACCAGGTGACTCGTAATATATTTAATACTTCTTTTTAATATTATAATTATTTAATTTTATTAAGAAGAGAGAAAGACATAGAAGTATAAAAATGATTTATAAATGTAAAAAGAAGAAACTTTAATAAAAATAAAAAATTTGCTAATTTAATATATTTTTTTGGTATGCAAGTGTTACAAGTGATTTATATTAAAAATCACAATAAAACCAAATTAGGTTCAGGGCCAAGCCACGTGGAGGGGCGTGGGCACCTTGGATGGGTGCCTAAGTTGTAAGTCGGTCCATGCATAAACTGGTCCATTAATTTCTCCAAGTCTTTATCTTTATTTTTTATGTGTCATTTTCTTGCTTTTTTTCTGTTAAATAAAATTGCTCCGCGAATTAATTAACAAGATCGCAGTCTTTGGAAGAAAACTGAGCTTGGCATGTGCTTGAAACCAATTAGCTCTCATTCATACTTCTTAAACTTTCTTCAAAATAAATATATGTACTATTTTATTATTCTTTTTCTTTGACAGAGTTTGAGTGTGTGTATATATTTTGGCTAAGCACAGATATTTTTTTATTAAAATTAATTTTTTTCAAAGTATGTTTTTGTGAGAATTTGAATCTTGATTTGTATACGTGGCTAATGACTTTTATGGCGGGTCCGATCATACTTATAGATGAAGCAGGGACCTTCAATTTGGGCCTTTGGTAAACGAGACGGAACCCTTTGGGATAAAGTTGGGGCCACTGAGGCCCGAAAGCCTTATCACTTGGCAACCGATCGACCAACGTTGTGCGGATTATTGTGACTGCCAACAAGTGACAATAACAATCCAATACGGAGTCTCAATATTAAGATTCATCATAGTTTCCTGTGCAACACTGCTTTAATTTACTGACAGAGAAAAATAATTAGTTCCCTAATCTCTGATTCCACTGTCTGTGGTTATCCCTGTAAAAATCTCAAGAGCAAAGTGAACTTCCGGACAACTTGAAAACTATGTCTGATTGATCCAGCAATAACACCGAAGCCGGATTTATAAAAAGTTTTGCATTTTAACGGAAAGTATTCGAGCACCCTGAGCCCTGAGTTGAGGCATTTGTTCTTTTAGTTTAAAATGGACAAGTCTTATCATTTCAATGAGCTCTCTGATTCGCTAGGGACTGAAATTAATAAGGAAAGACAAGATCCGTAATGAACATATAAGAAAAAAGTTGAAGTGGCTACTATTGATGAGAAAATAGTATAAAAACCGATTGAGATGGTTTGGTCACGTGTAAAGACAGTCTTGAGACCCAGTTAAGCAAACAGTATGGAGTCTCTAAAAAAGTAGAGGAAAGCCAAAGACAACGCTTAATGAAATCATTGAGAGAGATCTTTCAATTAACAATCTATCCAAAGATTTGGTTTTGGATATGGCTCAATGGCATCGTGTGATCCATGTAGCTAACCCACCTAGTAGGATAAGTTTTGTTGTTGTTGTTGTATCTTGGTCGTCCTAGATTATCTAAGCCTGCGCAATACGCTTGCCATTCCATTGGTGGCAACGTGGCTGGTATTCTTTCCGACTTTCCATGAATCCTATTTGAATAAAAACACCAGATTGTTTCTTTTTGGGATTATTGTACGTACACTCATACAGAGTCATAGGACTGAAACCCTAAATGCAAAAGGAGGGACCAAAGCAAGGAAACCAGCAAGCATAACTGAAAGTGGGGATGCACTGGTGTGAATTTTGATGGTGTTGATGATATGATGGCGCGAGAAGAAGAAGAAGAAGAAGACCCCGAGGCATTTTGAGCACAGAAAAGCAAATACTTTTGTTCTCTTTGAAACCCCCGTTTGGTAAAAAGCTTCATGATTATGGATCTTCATCATCTCTTTGTGGCTGCCATTGATGAATAATTAACGAGTTGAAGCTTTGTTGTCGTTTTGCGACTGGAAAGAGAATAGAACATGTTCTATCTCCCATGATCTCTCTTCAAGGCCCCAGGTCCCACTTGTTCAATTTAGATCCGTTCATGTCATCCAGCAAATGAATTCAGGCCAAAAAAAAAAAAAAAGAAAAATCCAGCAAATGAATGGTCAAATGCGACTGAGAAATCATTCATTCTACTTTCTTGGTGAAATGTAACGCCCACCGCCCATTACCTTCAATTTATTTTAATTAGATTTTAAATATAAAACTTTAATTTATTTTGCTTATCATATTTGTTTTTTTTAAGGTGATCCTTATAATAATAGTAATTCTAGTCAATACACTTTATTAACAAGAGTTTTTGAGAAAGATAAAACTTATTTAGTATGAATAGCTAATTTAACTAATTTTCTTAATCTATTCAAATTAGCCAATTAACTTTTATATTAATTGGAATCTTTTGTTAAAAAAAAAATCTCCTATTGAAATGACTTTCAAGTATCTATGGGTTAATGAGATAGTTAAATTATCAAATACCAATGTTGTCTAAAAAATGGACTTGTTTTTATCAAACGCATCATCTCAAAGAATACTTTTTATCTTGTATACAATGTCTTATCCTACTCATGAAAATTGTGAAAAGATAGGTTGAAAAAAAGACCTTCGAAGTTTACTTATTGATGGACAATTTATAGATATTTTCATAAGAATTTATTGAGTTTGGAGACATATCCTGAACGCGTGAATTCCTACCTCAATAAACTTTTTTTGTACAGGAAAAAAAAACTCATCTAAGTTTATACACTTGACACGAGGATATATATATATATATATATATTTACATATATACTGTCATCCTCAATAACTTGAACCAGCAGAATATGTGATCCATACCCCTTAACAGACACACATGCCCGCTCTAATCTTATCACTTGAGGGGACATTAACTAGAGCTGTGATATGTAAGGCCACACACCCACTTCGCTTTTGCTGACTTAGGGGTTATTTGGGTATCATCCCAAACCATAGTTTGGAGATAGAAATTGCCAAACACGCAGAAAAAAACAGAAACCATGGTTTTGGACTCAAAACTATGGTTTCAGAAGAAGTAAATTCATTTTACTTCTGGGTCAAATTGAAGAATATGATTGTGCATATCAAAGTAGATCTCAATGATAATATGACTTTAACACCTCTAAATTATTTTTTATAAACATTTTAATCTTATATTTTATAAATATATATACACATATTAATTATTTATTAATTACATTATCTTATATATTATTAATTATGTTGGTACAAAGTATATTATTAACAATTTTATTCCTTCAAACTAAAATATATTATAAAATCTATCTTTTATATAATTATTATATTAACTCATGCTTTTTTTAGTAATTTGCACATATAAAAAGTATTTATGATAACAATATCCAAACACTCTCACTTTATCAGAATCACTTTTTCACAACATCTATTTTCTCAAGAATCTATTCTTCAAAAACTATTTTTCGAACCATGGTTTGGCTTCATCTAAACATTTTTTTAGACTCAGACTCATAAGTGGCTCTTTAATTGGTAATTGTCGCTTTAATCATGGAAGTGAGGAGCCGAATTGGGTGCAGGACACAGTTTACTCACCAACTGACGTCCAGACGTTTTTAAATTAAAGTTTGTTTACTTTGAAGCAAATATTACATAATGATTTGATCTGCCGAACATTATGTGGGTGTGGCTCCTGCCTCCGGTTCAATTAGATCCTCCATTTATCTTAATTGGCTGAAAACAAATGAGTTGGCTGCTTTCACATCAATGCGATTATCCAAAAAACATTAACGATAATATTAACCAGATATCACTAATAATGAATTTAATCTTTTTTTTTCACGCTCAAAGGTGTAAATTTTCCCTGTTTATTGTCATTTTTTGATAAAATATACCAGGCAATTTTTTCAGCTCAGCAATTTTTTCCCCGAGAAAAGTTTTCCCATGTATCCATCATATTTTCATAAGAAATCTGATGATATCAAATGTCTGAAATAATTACAGTCAAGTATGATCCATAATTCATGAATCATTAAATGAATCCATTTGACAAACCAAGTTTGTTCAGATTCCAGAGGAAAAACCACGCGGTCTGCTTTATGAATCCATTTGCCGGGATTTAGGGGGTTTGGATAGAAACCAAACCATGGTTTTAAAAGTGTTTTTACGGATTACGAAGTAAATATGTGAAGGAGGTTACCTCTTTTGCAAACTAGTTTTGGTTTTGCCAAACCCCCCTTAATTTAATTAGGTCTGCCCGAGAAGAGATGGCCAGCGTGATGTCATGGATCATGGATGACATATATATTACCATAATTCCCGCGGAAGGTGACGCATCACAAACAAATTAAATATCACTCTCGTTAGTTACCACCATATATCAGTTAGGTCCCTCTCGCCTCCCGAATGGCTGCGTGCAAAAAATTAGTTATTACTCATTTAATTTATTATTATTATTATTTTTTGTTTCATCTGTAATATCTTAAAGGGAGAATTACAACAAGGTTCCATGCAAGAGAAAAAATTACAAAACAAATTCCAAAAGTTATTATTCTCCACTCTAAAACTTGTCATTACAAGCTGTTTAAGATTTTATTAGATCTTTTAGTAGTTATTTCTCTTATATAGGACTTGATTGTAATTTTTCCCTATCTTAGGGGTTGTTTTTAGTTTATTGTATCTACTTTTTCAAGGTAACAGCGCCCGAATTTAATTTGCTGACTGCAACCCATTCAAATTGGCCTTCACAATGAATGCTTGAAGATGTTCTGATCTTGCGAACAACTTTATCATTTGTAACTTTTACTCTTTTTGATATTATTCTAATATTTTCGATTAAAAAAATGCCGTATCTTTTGTGCTTCTCAACCTCTCCTACCACTCTGAGATTTTTTCAAAGTCAAAAGTCACCGTAAGTTTGTTAATTTTGTTGACATGGTAAGGGCCTTTAATGAACACTTCTTTTTTTTAAAAAAAAAATCCACGCTTTAGAAAACTTCTTTTTTGCAAGGTACAAATATATTTTTATGAGAGGCTGCTCGAGTAATGTGGAGCGCTAAATATAAACATGTCTCTTAATAAAAATTTAAACTTTGATTCATCATGACTAGCTCATTTTGTTACACTCGTTCTTTATCGGTTTTAGAAAACCTTCTTACTGATACAATGTTTTTGGTTTTTGGACTCAACAAAAAAGTTTTAAGCCCATAAAAATCTATTGGGCCTTTTAAGAATGAATGGGTATGTCTACCGGAGTACCGGGCCTCTTAAGAAAAAATGAATATGTAGTGACATAAATGGATCAACCAACCCAAGCTCATTATCTAAAAGTGTTTGTCAATTGCTTCAAAAGTACTTCGGAGCCCCAAACCAAAGTTTGGGTTGACTAGTCGCCAAACACTCTGTTTTTAAGAAAAGCCATGGTTCCGCCAAAACCTTGGTTTTGGCTAGCCAAACCATGGTTTTCGGATAAGCTAATGGCCTTTCGCTTCTGAGATGGAAAATTATGGTTATTGGAGTAATAATTACTCCTGTCAAAGGCTCTCAATGGTGAAAAGCGAAAAACACACTTCTCCCTCACTCCTTCGTCGTCGCCCCTTCTGTGAAATTTTCCAAAACATATCCGAATCATTTTCATAAAATAAAGGTAGTACTCCCCTTATTCCCCTCCCATCTCCACCATTAATAAATATCAACCATCTTACAAATAGGCCTTAGATGCTGGTGCTTATATATAACAATCTTTCAGGTTTCCGCTGTCCTTTCCATCCTTTTCCCCTCCAGTAACCTCAAAAATATATACACATATTAATTATTTTTTATATATTATTAATTATGTTGATAAAAAATATATTATCAACAAATTTATTTCTTTAAATCCAAATATATTATAAAATCTATCTTTTATGTAATTATTATATTAATTTATGTCTTTTTTAATAATTTGTACATATAAAAAGTGCTTCTGATAACAACTATCTAAACACTCTCACTTTATTAAAATCATTTTTTCACAAAATCTATTCTTTCAAGGATTTATTTTCTAAAAGCTATTCTCTAGACTATGGCTTGTTTTTATCCAAACGCTTTTTTTGTATAGTCCTAGCCCGAGGGCTGCCCAATAACTTGTAAAAAGAACAAAAAATCTGTGAGAAATAAATTTTGTGCAGCGGACGTTTGTTTTGACATAATTATATGAGCCCTCGCATGAATTCTGATTTCCCTACAATATTTACAAGGCCCCATAACCGCACGTTAGGAGAAAAGTTTCGGTCAAGTAAGTAAAACGGAGAGAGAAATGGTACTCCTACAGTGGTTAATATAAAATCTATTTAACTAATTTAATTAGATTAAAAAAGTTAGGTTAGTTAATTGTAATAAATATGACATGTTTTTTTAAAACACTATAATTATCTTTTTTAATACCCTACATCTCTCTTCTATATACTTGATCATAATTAAGAGAGTATCAATAAGAGTAATTTAGGAAAAATTGATAAATATGAGTACTAGGTCTTTGACTAAAATCAACTCAATAATTATATCTTATATTAAAGACAGTAAAAGTATATTTTTCAAGATAAATGTTAGAAAGTAGATATAATGTTTCTAGAGCTGATAATATGTTCGTCATATTTGCGAGCTGCCATCATGTGACCGATAAAGATTCGGAGAAAAACAAGAAGAAAATAGAAAGCTGGCAGTGCCTGAATGCGTACATATTTTAAAAAAGCAAGTGAAACAGATAAGACGAGAGAATTGGATCTTAGATATAGTGTCAAAGCCAGCTTCCGTCACCATCTTGAGTTCGGATACTATCCTCTCTGTGCAACTTGATTCAATGAACGAAGCACCCGAAGGTTTAATTTTCATCAACATCATACTACATTCGATCCTAATTATAAGATTCTATTTATAAATTATAAACGAAGTATTATAATTAGGACCGGAGATAATATTTCTGATCCACCGCTAATTGAAAATGATGAGGCTTCTTTTTATTTTTATCCTACTCAAGTGTCACTCTATTAGCTTCTTCACGTAAACACGCAAACATGGGGCTTAGGATTCAAATGCTGTGCCGAGATATATACATAGTACGTGGGTTATGATCTTAAGGGCAAAAAGGGGGAATGCCTTCCCTCAAACACATAGGCTCTTATTTGATCCTATTTATAAGATAGGGAGAGAAAATATTTTTTAGTCCTATTTATATAATACTGAGAGAAATTTTTTACATGAACGTACAATTTCATTTTTCATTTATTATTGTGTTGACTTTGTTTACATAAGGTATAATATATATTAAATAAGAATAAATTTAAAAAATTATTAAATTTTAAATAAGAGTTAATAAAATTTAAATTCTTTTTAATATATATAAAACATATTAGAAGTAAGTTATAAATAAAACTAGCGGAAGAGTGAGGCGTGAGCGGTTCCTTAGCTTGGTCAAAATGAAGAGGACAATAAATGCATGACCTTGAAGGCAAAGAAATTTCAAAATCGGAGGCTTCAATACTTCAGCCAACCCGCCTCCCACGGCTTGCAGGGCTCTATATATGGGCGCTCTCGCACAAGGTTTCTTCCATGGTCCACGCCAAGACCCACATATTCACACATATAGTTCACATGGCTACTCTCGCCTTCCACTTCTTAGCCTTATCTTTCCTCTGCAATCTCTCAACTCTTCCTTTGCTCACCAATGCTGTCTCCAACTGCGGCGGAAGCTGCAGCACCCTCAACGACTGCGCGGGCCAGCTCATTTGCGTCAACGGCAAATGCAACGATGATCCTGACGTGGGCACGCACATCTGCGGTGGCGGCGGCGGAGGAGGAGGAGGTGGTGGAACTTGCCAGGCTTCAGGCAGTTTAAACTGCAAGGGTAAATCCTATCCTCAGTATCGTTGCTCCCCGACAGTCACGTCCTCCACGCAAGCCATCCTCACCCTCAACGACTTCAGCGAAGGCGGCGACGGCGGAGCACCGTCCGAATGTGATGAGCAGTACCATAGCAACTCGGAGCGCGTGGTGGCGCTATCGACGGGATGGTACAACCACGGGTCACGGTGCGGGAAGATGATAAAGATCACGGCTAGGAACGGGATGAGCACGACGGCGAAAGTGGTGGATGAGTGTGACTCGGTGAATGGGTGTGACAGCGAGCACGCGGGACAGCCACCGTGCCGGAACAACATCGTGGATGGGTCGCAGGCTGTGTGGAATGCGCTGGGGCTTAATTCGGACGTGGGCCAAGTGCAGGTCACCTGGTCTATGGCATGAACTATTCGTAAGAAAAATTAAATAATAAAAGCATGATAAACAACCACAGTAGCTGGCAGCTTGTTTTGCTTTGCTTTAAATTTCTCTAGTCTGGAAATAAAGTTCACAAAGCAGGAAAATAATCCCTATTGTGAACACAACGATCATCCTTGTAAGGTACCTCGTAGATCATCAACAAATTAAGAATTTGGTTGTTGATCCATGAAATCCCTACATTACGTGCACTTTAACTTTATGTCTTCTGAGAGGGATGGTGTAATATTTCTATAATGAAACTTTAATGTTCCCTCCCTCCCTCCCCCCCTCTCGCTCTCGGTGGAAGATACTGCGAATTTCGTAGAATCTCTATATTCTTTAATTTGATATTCTTAGAGTTAGTCACAAAACCACATTCTCGAAGCGATGGCCGATGGCAATTGGGGGGGGGGGGGAAAAAAAAACCTTCGCATGTGTCGCATGCAATTATAAAATTATGATTATCTCGTTGGACAAGAGCAAATGAAAGATGTGAAAGATATGATATCCTCCTGGCTATGAATACTCATTCATGATTGATCAAAAGGATGAAATGAACAATAATCTAAAACATTCAAAATCTAATATATACAGTGTAGATTTAAAATTTTTCATATGTAATTTATTCGATAATATTTTTTTTGGAAAAAAGTGCTTGTAATAAGATCGTATTTTAAATTTTGTATCAATTAAGATAAAAAATTAATCAAAATACATAAAAACCATACAAAATTAATCTGAATAGTCCAAATTAAGATGAGCATTACATGCCCATCATCATAATGAACATGAAATGTGCTTTGAAAAATAATTGTGTTGGTATCTATCTAGATTTTTTTGGGGGTATAATATGAGGATTTTTATTTTTAATGAGAGTACAAATAACCAGTTTTATTTGATCTTTCAATTTAATTAAAGTATTAAACATTTTCATGATCTTTCATATATAAAAACTATAGATGAACTTATATACTTTTTGGTCCTATTTATAACTTACTTCCAATATGTTTCACACCGATCAAGAAAATTTTTAAATTTTATTAACTCTTATTTAAAATTCAACAACTATCATGATAGATATTACCCACACATTTTCTCAGCAATACTTGCTGTGATAATTGTTAATTGTTACGTATTAAGTTGTTAACGATTGTTTTTTCAATCGTTAATATATATTTTAAAAAAAGTAATTTAATAATTAAATAAATATAATCTTTAGCAATGAAGTCCTTTAAGACTTTAGATTAATATGATGATTTTAAGAATTTTTTTGTATTTAATTCTTTTATATGGGACCTTATTATAACTTGCCTTGATAATATTGCCTTTGGTGCGGCGCCAAGCCATGTGGGGAGCGCGGCCGCCGTTAACGTGTGCGTAGTGTTGGTGTACAAGCTGGTCCATTAATTCCTTCTTTGATGCGTCATTTTCTGTTTTATTGTTTTTTAATGCTTTCGGGACACTACTTTGGATCCAAAGCTAGCTAACAGATAATATATTTAATGCTTATTTTTTAATTTCATAATGATTTAATGTTTATTAAGAGGAGAGAAAGATGGAGAGATATGAAAATAATTTATAAATATAAAGAGAGAAAAAAGCTTTAATAAAAATAAAAATAAAAATAAAAAAATTTGTTAATTTAATATGTTTTTTTCTTGGTATGTAAGTACTACAAATAATTTATATTAAGAATCACAATAAAACCAAATAATAAATATTGCCTTAGGTTCAGTGCTAAGCCACGGGGAGGGGCACGGGCGCCTTTAATGGATGCGTAAGTTGGTCCATGCACAAACTAGTCCAATAATTTCTCCGAGTCTTTTATCTTTATTTTTGGATGCGTCATTTTTTTTGTTTTTTTGTTTTGTTAAATAAAAGAGACCGTGAAAAACCATTTTTGCTCCACAAATTAATTAACAAGATCTCAGCCTTTGGAAGAAAACCGAGCTTGGCATGCACTTGAAACCATATATTAGCTCTCATTCATACTTCTTAAACTTTCTTCAAGACAAATATATGTTCTATTTTATTATTCTTTTTCTTTGACAGAGCTTGAGTGTGTGTATTTTTTTTTTTTGTTAAGTACACATATTTTTTTATTAATAATAATCTTGTTCGAAGTACTTATCCAGATAAGAATTCAAATCTTAATTCGCATACAAAGCTAATGACTTTTATAATGCTCAGGTCATACTCAGGGATGAAGTAGGGACCTTCATTTTGGGCCTTTGGTGGACGAGACAGAGCCCTTTGCGATAAATTTGGGGTCACTGGGGCCCAAAAGCCTTATCCCTTGGCAACCGATCGACCAACGTTGTGTGCATTATTGCGCCTACTGACAAGTGACAATCACAATCCAAATACGGAGTCTCAATACTAAGATTCATCATTCATCATATTTTCCCGTGCGACAATGCTTTAGTGACACATAAAAATAAAATGAAATGCCTCCATACGTCGCTGCGCTATTTAGTTTTTCAACCATTCATAATTTAGTTCCCCAGTCTCTGATTCCACTGTTTGTGGTTATCCCTGTAAAAATCTCAAGAGCAAAGTGACCTTCCGGACAACTTGAAAACTATGTTTGTTTGATCCTGCAATAACAACGAAAGCCGGATTTATAAGAAGTTTTGCATTTTAACCAAAAGTATTCGAGCACCCTGAGCCTTGAGTTGAGGCATTTGTTCTTTTAGTTTAAAATGGATAAGTCTTGTCATTTCAGTGAGCTCTCTGATTCGCCAGGGACCGAAATTAATATAGTAAAGTATCTTGGTCGTCCTGGATTATCTGAACCAAGCCTGCGTATTACGCTTACCATTCCATTGGTGGGCATCGTGGCTGGCATTCTTTCCAACTTTTCATGAATCCCATTTTGAATAAAAACACCAGATTGTTTCTTTTTGAGTATTGTTGTACGTACACTCATATAGAGTCATAGGACTGAAACCCTAAAAGCAAAAGGAGGGACCAAAGCAAGGAAACCAGCAAGCATAACTGAAAGTGGGGATGCACTGATGTGAATTTTGATGGTGTTGATGATATGATGGCGCGAGAAGAAGAAGAAGACCACAAGGCATTTTGAGGCACAGAAAAGCAAGTCCTTTTTATTCTCTTTGAAACCCCCGTTGGGTAAAAAGCTTCATTATCTCTCTGTGGCTGCCATTGATGAATAATTAACGAGTTGAGGCTTTGTTGTCGTTTTGCGACTGGAAAGAGAACAGAACATGTTCCATCTCCCACGATCTCTCTGCAGAGCCCCAGGTCCCACTTTTTCAATTTTGATCCTTTCATGTCATCCAGCAAATGAACGGTCAAGTGTGACTGAGAAATCATTCGTTCTACTTTCTTGGTGAAATGTCACACCCACACCCATTCCCTTCAACGTTATTGCCTTCTTTGGATGTTTGCCTAATTTAAAAAGTACTTTTTAAAACCATTTTTTTAAAAATCAAAACAAACTCTTTCGTATATTTATTTTCGTAAAAGTATTTTTAAAATTATAATTTTGTATTTATCCAAACACTCCCTTAATGGAAATAGAAGAATTAGCTTGATATTTAATTAAATCTTAAATATAATATTTCTATTCACTTTATTTATCATATTTATTTGTTTATTTATTTTTTAAGGTGAATTTTGTAGTAATGGTAATTCTAGCTAATACACTTGATTAATAATTTTTTTAAATTACAAATAATTAATTTAACTAATTTTATTAATCTAGTTAAATTAACCAACTAGTTCCGGTATTAATCAAAAGTAGTATATCAAAATCTTTTGTAAAAAGAAAAAAACAATCTTCTATTGAAATCACTTTCAGGCATCTATTGATTAATAAGTTAGTTAAATTATCAATATTGTCTAAAAAATGAAGAAATTTCTTAACTTATCTTTCTCAAACGCATAATCTCAAAGAATACCTTCTATCATATATACAATCTTACGCTACTCATAAAGATTGTGAAAAGATAGATTGAAAAAAGGTATTTGATAATATATTTTTTTATACAAAGCGACTAATGACAAAAGATTATTAAAGTTTACTAGTGTATGGACAATCTATAAATATTTTTATAAGCATTCATTGAATTTGGAGACACATCCTGAACGCGTGAATTCCTAAACTCAGATAAACTTTTTTTGTACAGAAAATAAAAACTCATCTAAGTTTATACACCGGACATATATATATGTATTGTCATCCTCAATAACTTGAACCAGCAGAATATGTGATCCATGCCCCTTAACAGACACATTCCCGCTCTAATCTTATCTCTCGAGGACATTAATTAAAGCTCTGATATGTAAGGGCGCGCACCCACTTTGCTTCTGTTGACTCTGGACTTATAAGTGGGGCTCTTTAATTGGTAACTGTTGCTTTGATCGTGCAAGCGAGGAAACGAACTGGGTACAGGACACAGTTTACTTACCAACTGATGTCTAGACGTTTTTAAATTAAAGTTTGTTTGCTTTGAAGGAAATATTACATAATGATTTGATCTGCCAAACACCATGTGGGTGCGGCTCCTGCCTACAGTTCAATTAGATCCTCCATTTATTTTAATTAGCTGAAAACAAATGAGTTGGCTGCCTTTCACATCAATGCGATTATCCAAAATAGTAAACATTAAAGATAATATTAACCGGATATCACTGATATTGAATTTAATCTTTTTTTCATGGTCAGAGGAGTAATTTTCCACGTTTATTGTAATTTTTTGATACAGTATACCAGGCAATTTTTTCAGCTCAACATGATACATTTTTCCCTGAGAAAAGTTTTTCCATGTATCCATCATATCGTTATTAAGAAATAAGATGATATCAAGTGTCTAAAGTAATTACAGTCAAGTATAATCCATAATTCATCAATCATTAAATGAATCATAGATAGAGATGATTATGATAAACATCCCATTAATTACTTTAATTACTAAAATTTCATTATCTTTTTAACGGGCGCTCAAATAATTAATTACGTTTTACAAAGCTAGGACCTTAGAACGATATCTCGTATGGTTTTCCAACCGGGAACTATTAAATGGAGTTGAATTGTGAAAACCAGTCAAATTTTATGCGTAAACTCAGACTGATATTAAGCCATTTTCTATGTGGATGAAAATATATAGTTTACCTCAGGGTTAAAAATATAGGAGAATTATAATAAGATCTTAAAAAAAATTATAAAATAAATCTAAAAAATTATATTTTTTTATTTTAAAATCTGTTATTATTGACTACTTATAATGCTTTTTTAATAATTATTTTTTAAAA